CCTGTCCGTCGGCAGGGGACACGCTTTCATCGGAGAAGACAAGTAGAGATTGTGCAGCATTCTGAACATACAAACTGGGGGTAGCGGTAAACCAGGCACGGTACGTATCCACCACGCCCTTCATGCAGCTGAGGTCCTTCCGGCCAGGCAACGCCATGCCATACGCCTGGCACACTTGCAGTGCTCTCGTTGCCGTGGAAACAGAAGATGCTACTCTTAAGCTAGGTGGCAGGACCATGTAGTGGTTGGCGGCCGTGCAGTATGAGACGTTTGTCCTGCCGTTGATGGTTTCATTTCTATACCACGCTGCAGTCACGGAGAGCAGAGCAAACAGGCCGACAGGGCATGGCAATCAATACAAACAGTACACGATCGTTTGACTACATCTCGTGAGATGCAATGGGCATGCAGTGTCATGCTATGCTAGCTTTATGTGCCAGCAAGAGCAATGGGCCTGCAGTGTCATACTATGCTAGCTTTATGTGCCAGCAAGAGCAATGGGCATGCAGTGTCATGCTATGCTAGCTTTATGTGCCAGCAAGAGCAATGGGCCTGCAGTGTCATGCTAGCTTTGTGTGCCAGCAAGAGCAATGGGCCTGCAGTGTCATGCTAGCTTTATGTGCCAGCAAGAGCAATGGGCCTGCAGTGTCATGCTAGCTTTGGGTGCCAGCAAGAGCAATGGGCCTGCAGTGTCATGCTAGCTTTATGTGCCAGCAAGAGCAATGGGCCTGCAGTGTCATGCTAGCTTTGCGTGCCAGCAAGAGACTTGGAGAATACTGCTGTGGAGATTGAAACCTGCTGAGAAGTCAAGCGGCCACCGGGTAGGCTTTCCCCAAATCGGCCCGTTTTTTTCGCCTATTCGGCTTTTCACTAGGCTCAAGAATACATCAGATTCAGCTGCAAAATCAGCTGCAAAATAGGAAAATATTGGAAAATCAGCTAAAAGGATTGGTGGCATATTGGTTTAAAAATTGGTGAGATACTGGAAGGTTTGGTAGATTTTCGGAGATTCTCAAAGGAACCCTCCAAAATCGGCGAAAAGCTTAGCGATTTTTCGATACGTCTCGTTTTCGGCGAATTTTTCGGCTGGCCGATTTGGGGATTTTACTGATAACAATCTTCCTAATCGCTAATGTTTGTTTTAGAGGAGGTCAAAGGACACGAGTCACACGACCTCAACACACTAGTACTACAAGTACTGAAGTAGAGAGCACGAGCCGGCATGCTTGCAGCAACATCATTCGTTCGTAATCGCACTTTGCAACAACATTTGGTAGATTTTCGGCGATTCCTAAAGGAACCCTCCAAACTCAACACAAAACTTAGCGATTTTTCGATAAGTCTCGTTTTCGGTGAATTTTCGGCTTGCCGATTTGGGGAAAGCCTGCCACCGGGCACTGACTTTGGAGCCGTGAGCATTTTTTAACAATGTGCATTTGAAGTACAGTGCCTGTACTTGGAGTATAGGCCCCGGTCATTCCACCGGATTTCAATTTCCACAACAGTAAGAAGTTCAGTACACACACCAGGGGGTTAGCCTCGCAACAAGATTCGAATCATACACAACTGGTTTCTCTGTACGCCAACGTTTTTGGCTGCAGCACAATGACAAGTGAAAGTAACATACCGGTATGAAAGCGTACATGATACTTGTGGAGATACGTTTGATGATACCTCAGGATGTGAGGCGCCACACGTGAAGGGTACCAGGTATAACAGATTAACTGTGAAGTCCAGCAGTGACAGTGCTGGTGAATGGAATCAGGTACCAACTCTAGCAGCCTCAACACTTTGTAGTCTAATATGGCAGCCATGCACTGGAAACATGCCACCTATCACTTCACTGAGGTTTGCTATACATGTATCCCTATTAATAGAGTGTGATTGCATTTGTGTGTCTAATAAACCATTTTTACAAGGACAAGCTAACCTAGGGTCTCACCACGCCTGGGAAAAATTCCTTCCGCTTCCAAACAGGACTTGAACCGGGAACCTCTCGTTTCTCAACCATAGTCTTAGACCAACCCACTATGCCTGCCTGCCTGCCTGCCTGCTGGTGCCTGCTTACAGTAGCCATATACATGAAGCTCAAATAATTTCTGACATTTAAAAGTTATTACTGCGTCTCTCCAAAAAATTTGTAACATGGAAATTGTGGGCACCATCTGAGCTCCTTAAAAAACTAACACTTTCTGTGCTAACCATCCGGCACACCTCAAGTCACACTGCAGTTAACTCTACTCGCTAGAGCTAACAGCATGGCACCTTGAGCTGCGGCGGTCAGTCCAGGAAGAATTTCGTAACGAATATACAATAGCTTGAGACCGAATATTCTACAGTCATTTCACCTTTAATCCATATCTGGAAGCCAATGGTTAGTGGCGTGCAATGTTAACGAATTCTGAATGTCAAACGACTCCATAAGTCTGCATGCTTACTATTGGTACCGTATTATCTCTAATATCAGCACGGTCCTTTATTTTTTCAATGTACCTCCGCCCCGTGCTATTATTGGAGACGTTCCTTTACTGGAGACTGTTCCATTATTATTTCAACCTCATTTCAGAGGCATGTTGCCATGCCAAATTCATGTCAGACACACACATTTCAGGGTTTTTTTCCGCCGGTACAGATAATGAATGTACACAGTGTGCTTATAATGGAGACTGAGCACTTTATTTTCACTTTATTTTTCGAATGCCGCCCCAAGGTGTTCTATCGGAGACGTGCTATTATTGGAGACTGTGCTCATATTAGAGATAATACTGTATGTGACTTACATGTGCACTGGGGTCCATAGAACAGAGGATGACACTGGCAATGATAGGAGGCGTTCTTCAGCTGGCAGTAGCCATTCTTACTACAGCCAATGCAAGAGTCTGCGCAGCACGTCAACAATAACAATACCCACCCACATCCACACCCACACACCCAACACCCACAAATACACACGCACAAACACACACACACACACATACGCCCACATACACACAAATACACACACCCACACACACATATATCCACACACACACACACACACGCACACACACACCGCCACCACCACCACCACCACCACCACCACCACCACCACCACCACCACCACCACCACCACCACCACCACCACCACCACCACCACCACCACCACCACCACCACCACCACCACCACCACCACCACCACCACCACCACCACCACCACCACCACCACCACCACCACCACCACCACCACCACCACCACCACCACCACCACCACCACCACCACCACCACCACCACCACCACCACCACCACCACCACCACCACCACCACCACCACCACCACCACCACCACCACCACCACCACCACCACCACCACCACCACCACCACCACCACCACCACCACCACCACCACCACCACCACCACCACCACCACCACCACCACCACCACCACCACCACCACCACCACCACCACCACCACCACCACCAGCAGCAGCAAAAAAACTGCATTAACAACAACAACAACAACATCCACCCAGACTGACAGCAAAGAGTTTGTACAGTCAACTTCACTAACAACGACTGCGGTTATAACGATATTTGGCGAATAACGACAGAATTCCATGCCCAGAGAAAGTCCCATCCAACTTAATACATATGATGAGACTTCGGGTACAAGGACATTTCGCAAATAAGGACACTTTTCTGATGCCCCCGCCGAGTGTCGTTATATGCAAAGTTAACTGTACAGCACAAGTTGAGATCAATACAGATGCACCGCTGAAATGACTACAAAGTCAGTTCCTGTTATAAACCGAGGTACGTGTACCGTGAATTTGGTCCACCCGCGGCAGAGGCTTTTTAGTAGACAAATCAAGGACATGCACACATTATTTGATTTCTTCATTCTATACTACATTTTGGCTGTTGGTAACACACCACCACATACTGAATCCATTCCGAGCCTTTGAGCTTAGGTATTTTTGCAAGCTTTTGATCATTAACTAACATGACATGTTAATTAATGATCAAAAGCTTGCAAAAATACTAGGGCTCAAACGGTCACGGTTTTACCCCTGACGGTTAACTGCTAAGCTAACGGTCGGTTAACCGGTTATAACCTATAAGCCACGGCAATCCTGCGGACTCTTTTTTAACCGTGTATTTGACTATACTCATTCAAAAATGTACCCTATTCAGTACAACGCACACATGTACATTCTCTTGCATGCTCATTCATACATACTCGCACACCAAGAGACCAGATATGACCGAGTTGACAGCCCAGAAATTGCGTACGCGTGCGACAGCCCGCGAAAGTGCACACTTTGCAACGACCTGATACTTGAAAAATTGACTGAAAAGTTACTGCGTAACCGTTATCTTTATCTGTTAAACGTTAATTCTTCGTAACCGGTCTGCAACCGGTTAATCGTTTGAGCCCTAAAAAATACCTTGTATCATTGCGAAACTCGGCGAGCCAGTTTTGCAACAGATCAATAACTTCGTCAGCGGTGCACTCTAGGCATGGGCGGGTAATGCTAGTTATTTGCTGCGATAATGCTAAAGGCAATGCTCATAATATGAGGATATAATGCCACTTATAATGCTCACACTACTCCATAATGCCAGTTTGAAAGTTGGAGAAGTCGATTTAAGAATGCCGTCTTGGATCAAGGCCAAAGCGTAGAAGAAAAAAACTTAAACAGCAGTGAGCATGTTGTCTGAAACAATCCACTGAGAAGGTTGATTTGCAACGTCAAGTCTCCGGACGAAGCCGGACGGGTTCAGATGCACGATTTTTCGGAACTGGACGTAGCCAGCTTCATGCATGACACCGTTGTCGACCGGCAATTATGCTTGTAATGCCAATTTTGCATGCGAAATGGTGTTATAATGCCAGCATTATGCGACCTGGGAAAAAGCCATAATGCTAGCATTACTCGCCCATGCCTAGTGCAATCAGCCACCTTGATACAGCAACCAAGCGCATTGCTGTGCAAGATCGGATGACAAAATGAACGAAGTGAAACAAATTCCGTCCAACTCAAGGTAAATATTTCAAGGATACAATTCATCAGATCTGTATACATTGATTTCCAAACATAAAGGGTATAGCTGAAATTGTTTTGTCATATATAGCAAGGCATTGCAGCAACAGGTCACAACATTCGTTAGGTGGAATGGCCCCTGAATCCCCAACCCGGCCGTTACGATCACAGCTGCTTTACCAACAGAGAATACTGGACTCATCAGCTGTATAGCTATGGCAGTGTTGATCGTACTATTTAGAATACCGTACTCACGCAATTAGAGCCCTCCCTTGAATAGTGCCCCAGTCTCTTAGAGAAAGTGAAAAAATAAAGCCCTCTCATGAATAGTGCCCCCCCCCCCCCAGGCTTGTAGCCAAGCAAGTGCAAGTTTGGTGTTCTTTTAGTAATGTTCTTGTCCATGTTACTGAACTGGTGGTTTCAGGTTCTTGTTGCCCATTCTGTCGAGTCGTGATAGTTTACAGTAAACTTTAGGCTCTGTTTTTCTTTGCCTTCTTTGTTCTATGCTGAATCACGTGCATGTACATGTGAATGTAGCAGCATTGAAAAGATAGTGCCCTCGCTTCAATAGTGCCCTTTCTTGAATAATGCCCCATCTGTGATGGACATTGAAAAAATAGTGCCCACTCTTGAATAGTGCCCCATCTGTGATGGACATTGAAAAAAATAGTGCCCCAGGGGCACTAATCACACAAATACGGTATTCATTTATTCATCCGATAACTGCAAGTGGGCAAATAAATGATGAATTTGACTTTTTCGATTTCATGCTTCGTTCATCTAGCATGCGAAATCATGAGAAGAAATGTGCATTTTCTCAAAACATGACCTCAGTACTAGACTGGTTCCGGGAATGCAGTGCGTCTCGTCGTGACTTTTTTTACACCTAGAACATTGCTTTCATTTGCTTTGACTGTAAAATTGATAGAGATACCTTAGTGAGGGTCACGCTTCCTGGTTCCCTGAGTGGGCGTATTTAGGCAGGTTTTGGGCAAGTTTAGGCAGGTTTGGGGCAAGCTTAGGCAGATTTGGGCAGGTTTAGACAGGTTTTTCTGTGCGTTGGAGATTAGAGCTCACCTTTAATGTCACAGAGTTGACCATGCCACCCAGGAGGACAAGTGCAGTTGTATGCAACATGACCATTCACACATGTCGCTCCGTTTTGACACAGATGGTTGGCACAAGCGTTTGCTAGAGCTACAAGATGTAAGTGTGTGACCAGCAAAACCGGAGAGGCGAGAGAACACACACACATGCACGTACGCACACACATACAGATAGACAGACATAATAATTATAATTATATGCACACACACATACATGTACAGACACACACGGTGCATGCACACACTTGCACAAACACATAAACATACAAGCATTACACATAGACACACAGACTCACAGACACGCACACACACACACACACACAAACACACAAACAAACACACACACACACACAGATAAACCCAGAAACATTTCATGCAAACAGAACACACAGGAACCAGTGCAGGGTGTAGCAAAACTCGGCGGGTTTCACCATAATCTCGCCGAAATTAAGTAGCAGCCTCAAGTATGTAGTAAAAAAGTAAAAGTAAATTGTCGTGTCCGTTCTCGAAGGGAACTCACGACGGCCGCTAACACCCGGTAAACCCTAGCGGCAGATGCAACGCCTAACGGTGAGGGTGAGGGGATAAGTCTCACAACCACAGGCACAAGTGCTGAAACCCCCATTAGCTGCATCCATGCTCCCCTTGGGCCTGGCCATAAGTTCCTAGTTGACTGTGAGTAGCAGCACGGCTGGAAAAACTGCCCCCACACGAGTCCCAGGCAAGACTTGAACCAGGTACCTCTCGCATCTCAATCATGGTCTTTGACCAACCCTCTGTGCCTGCCCGGTAAGCCGTGACAAAAGATCTCAGCAGGACAATCACGTCGGTTATTGTGAAATGAAGCCAAATACTACGATGGAATACAGCTATGAACAGTAGCAGATGCCCACGCGGCAAAAAATTGATTTTGAGTAGTTTGAACAATTTAGTACCACGATCCAACTTTCAAGCGCCATATCTTTTATTATCGTTCCTGCTATCGCTAAAGCGATTACACCGTTGGAAAGCTTGGAGCTTCCTCTTCGATCTCCATATTTCGATATTTGCCGCGAAAAGGATAAAAACAATGGAGTCACGACAGTTTTACGGTGTGCACAAAATATCATACTTTAATGACTGATGCACTGCAAAGGGTTAAATTATTTTAAGGCTACCCTTGAATTAAAAAAAACCAATTCAAGTCTTAGAATTGCGATCAACAGAACGAGCTGAAGCGACATTTCACAAAAGGCTTTTATTGTATTCAAAAAACGAGTGGATACGAAGGCAGTGAAGAACATGGAAGAAAGAACTGAACACCACAGGGACAGACACCAGTGTTCAGACACCGTGTCAGAAACGAAACGTTATACGCGACATTACGGCAGTAGAAACGTTTCCTCAGCACAGCATTCAGCAAATCTATCTGATTTTGTGTGTACCTCAATCTGAAATATGTAAATAGGTGTCGAGGCGACAATAGTTTTAGAATTGCGATCAACAGAATGAGCTGAACCGACATTTCACAAAGGCTTTTATTGTATTCAAAAAACGTCCCTGTGGTGTTCAGTTTTTTCTTCCATGTTCTTCACTGCCTTCGTATCCACTCGTTTTTTGAATACAATAAAAGCCTTTGTGAAATGTCGGTTCAGCTCGTTCTGTTGATCGCAATTCTAAAACTATTGTCGCCTCGACGCCTATTTACATATTTCAAGTCTGGTAGTGCATGTAGTGGTACACGGAAGTAGTTATGAAGTTATGAAGTTATGAAGTTATGTAGTTATGGGTAATCTTGCATGCATGTACAAATTAGGGTCCAGCGGATTCTGCCGGCAGAAAAATTGGCAGAATTCGGTACTTTTTCTGGAACGTTTCATGCATGTTTGGTATGTGGATAAAGAATGGAGCAGAATTCGAGGAAATGGCCGCCATAAGGTTTGTATGGTTCTGCCAATTTCACTGCTTTTTGAGCAGAATCCGCCGGTCCAGAGTACAAAATCGAGAATGCCATGTACATGTCTGTGGAGTTGGAGAGTATAGTAGTGCAAGTGCCATGCACTTTTTTCTTTTTTGGAACATGGAAATAGTGGGCACAAGTTATGCGATCGAGTCATGACTTGTGCCCAAAATTTCCATGTGATTTCCATGTGACCTTTGTTGTCCAACTCTCAGTGTGATGATGATTTCTGAGGATTATCACATGAAACCGACGTTCAAATCTTAACATAATATTATTATTGTTCCATTTTTCTCGTGGTATGAGTGCGTTCACTTTACTTTTATCCACATTAGGTTTCTTGTCTCCACGCCGACTTTTTAGCCATAACTTCCATGTTACAATTTTTTTTGGTGCCACGTATCGAATTTATCCTTACACCGAAAGGTCAGGGATTGGCTGTTAGCGGAATTTACAACACCGAAAATAAGCTGATATACAGTACAGTCAACTTGGCTAATAACGACTGCTGATATAACGACAATTCGCGAATAACGACCGAATTTCCATGCCCGGAGCAAAGTCCCATCTAACTGTATACATTTAACTTCGGATATAACGACTATCTGAATAACGACAATTCGCGAATAGCGACATGCTTTTAGTGTCCGGAGATCATATTCACTGCTTGAATAACGACTTTCTGGGCTTTTGACAGCTATTTCAAGTACATGTACCTGTCATGCAGAGGTACCAGAACCTATAGCTATGGTGATGGATAAAGATAAGAAAATGCAGCCAAGGGGGGGGGGGGCTGGCTTTTTCTTGCTTTTTTATTTTGCTTCAAAAGTGTTGGATTTACCAGCACACCTACATGCATGTAGTTGTACATGATAGTACAGTAATCATCATACATGTACATGTCCCTGGCCCCGTAGATGGCTCAAAAAGGCATATTTTTCAATTTATTTCCCTTGCATATTGAATTTTTTAGTTCCTTTCAACTGCAATATGAAAATAAAGTACACATTGACATAGCGCAAGAAAAGAGCTTGATTTTGATATGCATGTCATACTATACAAAATGGGTTCACATACATTCAAATGGGACTTCGGATATAAGGACACTTCGCGAATAAGGACACTTTTCTGATGCCCCGCCGAATGTCATTATTCGCGAAGTTGACTGTACACTGCTTGAAGATAGGACTTTATACTTACAAGTGCAGTTTCGACTTGGATTATCAAATCCCGCAGGGCAATCACAATAGTACGAACCTGGCATGTTGACACACTGCGTTGTGGGGTAAGTGCAGTTTACTGCTGGACTTACTTCCGTGCACTCATCAACTGTAGCCACAGGAGTAGAGAAGACACACAATCCAGCGGAAACAGTAGAAGCGTGATCACCATGCGTGCGTGAGTGTCGGCAAAGCCCGCATCCCTGGTTTCGACGGTATTGATACATTGGTGTGGCTAACATCTTGAGATTGTCAAGCCGTTTATACTCGTACATACATCTGAGCCAATTTTAACGCTGACTTTCCATGCCATTAAGCATTTCCTCTTAGGAGGCTATTACAGGATGGCTACTGGCTAGTTGGCCAAAATGTGAAGAATTTTCTCTCCTCAAAGCTACCTAGAAAGTACCTCTAGTCTTTTCTACAAAGGCTGTTCATCGCTGTATCCCGGCCTGTTTCTTTTCCAATCGCCTTTTTCCGCGACAATTTGCAACAGGCTTCAGGTGGCTAAGATGGTTGCCGCACATCTGACACATCGACACGTGTTCATGAGGGAAGGAAACGTAGCGCCTCGTGTACTTTAACTACATGTACAGGAAAACCTGGTGTGTAGAACTGCCCGTGCAGGGGAACACGGTCGTTAAGAGCAGGTGGTCGCTAAACACAGAGGTTGCTTACACCAGGTTTTACTGTTCCGGTTAATCAACTGATGCTACCTCATAGCCTCATATGGTCACTATCATTGATAGCATCTCTCTTATTGGCCAGTGCCCATAGTGAACAATGATAATAGTAATAAATCCAGCAAACACTCTGTGTGCAGTGTGCTGTACTACATGTCGATTTCCACATTCCAATGTGCAAACAGTTTCATGTGCGTGTGTGAGGATTCGACTGGTAGCGCACATGCCTGTTGCCTCGATTTGGGAAAGAAGTCTCCCCCGCACCTAGTTCGTGATAAGGACGGCTCACCAGGTGTGCAGGAATGGACTTGGATGGAGAACCAAGTATTAATTTATAAAAAAGAAAGATGGAGCAAGGAACTACAAGCTACGCTATAATGTCCACTGACACCACTGATACCACTGACACCACCTGTTACTAAACAATCAATGCACGACACTGACCACAAGATGTGTGGAATGTTGCTTTGCGTCCTTGAATTGTGGTTTGACCCTGTAGGCTTTCCCCAAATCGGCCCGTTTTTCGCCTATTCGGCTCTTCGCTTAGCTCAAAAATACATGAGATTCGGCTGCAAAATCAGCTTGTTCGAAAATCGGCTGCAAAATTGGAATAATTATATTGGGAAATCGGCTAAAAGAATTGTTGGCATATTGGCTTAAAAATTGGTGAGATGTTGGAAATACAGCTCTGCTAGATGGAACTGATCAGAACTGTACGTTGTAGTTTAGTGTTTTACCAGTGACAATCTTCCTAATGGCTTATTAATTTTGTGTTTGAGAGGAGGTCAAAGGACACGAGTCACACGATCGTACGACCTCAACGCACTTATACTACAAGTACTGAAGTAGAGAGCTCGAACGGTCATGCCTGCAGAAAAATCAATCGCTCCTAGACGGACTTTGCCACAACATTAAATTTTGCTAGATTTTCGGCGATTCTCAAAGGAATCCTCTACAATAGGCAAAAAGCTTAGCGATTTTTGTAAGTCCCGTTTTTGGCGAATAGTACGGCTGGCCGATTTGGGGAAAGCCTATTTGACCGTATTGTCCAATGGTCTTGCCAGTATCGTCATCGACATGCATGAACATCTGCCAACGTCCTTCATAGCTGAGACTTTATCTTGGTTGCGCTCACCTTCTCCTCCTTATGTACATACAAACAAAGGGGAGGGAGGTGAGACAGAGGGACGGAGGCAGATGAGGTGGGAGGATGCTTGCTCAGTCTCTAACCAAGCCAAGCGCACATCATCTTCCAGTGCATGTGCACACTGGTGAGCTAAAAATAGAACAAACTTGTAGAAGAAGTCAGATCTTGAAACGATGCGGCTTGCCAATGTAGAGTGTTGCAGACAAATTAAGACTATCCAAGGCAGTAATCCCAGGATTCGCGGTGATCCGATCAATAAAGAGATACTTCAGTGGATATGAACAGTGCTCATGAATACCTCTGCTGTGCTCGAATCGGGTGGTCAACGTTTCGAAATTTGGTTTGACCATGGAAAACCTCAGTGGAAAGCCCAGACCACATGCCATGGTGTTGATAGCATCACAGGCTGTGAGAATCAACTTACCATCGTCTTCGCAGTATTCTCCGGACCAGGAGCTGGAACAATTGCATGACATATAGTATGATGTATCATTCATGCCCTCCATCCGGTTTCCGCTGGCGTGTTTTAGACAAACACCCCCATTCTTGCATGGAGTGTTGAAGCAGATATCTAGAGAGCATGCAGCCAGTGAAGCAGAGTACATGAAGATCTGATACGCAAAACACGCCAAATTTGAGAAATCTGAGATTTCCAGCTCAGTGTAATGAAAAGGTCTAGGGGCTCCGCTAGCCAAAATTTCACATGCAAAACCTGACCAGAACCATCAATTTTCTAAACTGGAAACCAAAATTTGGATTTGGTACAAACGTTGCATGAAAATGTATCATTTTTAGCCATTATCCGAAAAGTGATGAATGGATTTATGCGGTTTTGTAAGTACATGTAACACCGGAAACATTCCAGTGCTCTCTCCAGGACACCTGAGTGGGTAAGTTTCGGGAGGAATGGAGGGACGGGGGGGGGGGGGGGAGCAATAGTCCCAAGCAGACTGACACTGTACAACCATGCGATTATCATTATACGACAAGCTGGGTTCATATTGGCGGGGGAGGGGAGGGGTCTGAGTATGGAACGAAAACAAAAACACATTTGCGACCATCCTTAACTTGCTCGGAGCAATAATGCAGGTTGTGCCATGCTTATCAATGTTTATTGTTGTTGGCACAGGACTAGGTGTGCATACAACACCCGCCATCTTGCACAGGATCAGGTGACACTGGTGTGCACAAGACACATAACATCCTCCAGAGAATCACGGTGCACAAGACACGTAACATATCCTGCTCAGCGTCATCCTTCCTGTGGAGTGAGTACTGTTGCCGATGCGGTGGTGGTGGTGGTGGTGGTGATGACGGGGGGGGGGGGGGGGGGGTGAGGGGGAGGGGATTATGTTACTAGAAAGAGGTGCTTCAGCAACGTTTTCTTGGCCTCTTGTTGTAAGAGTTATTCTTACTGGGGCCGGACAGAGGTACATGTGAGAGTTTTTATCCTCACGATGGCCTTTGGCCAATAAGGGGGCGTTCGTTTTTGATCTACAGGTTTGGGTAGAAACTACTTCTTTGAGTAGAGGTGTTCGTTTTTTGAAAAAAATTCTACTCAAAAGGGTAGATTCTACTGTCCTCTACCGGCTCTACCAGGAAAAAGTTGGTAGAATCCGGTAGAAGTTGGTAGAGCTACGGGATTTCCAGCAAGATCAAGGATTTGTACACAACTCCATACAAAAAAAGAAACATTTCACGTACACACTGTGTAAACTACTAGATCCGGTAAAACACCGTTCGTACACTTACCTCTACCATCTACCTCTATCGGTAGAGTGACTCTACTCTGCTCTACCAGGTAGCTAATAACGAACGCAGCTTAAGAGAAGAAGAACAGCTACTTGTATCGGATAATGGCGCATCAAAATTTACCAGTGCTCTTAAAATTAATAGTTTATACAAAAGAAAAATGGACCAAGGAACTACAAGTAACTTGTAGTTAATACAAAAGAGAAAGACCAAGGAACTACAAGGAACTACAAGTTACGCTATACTGTCCACTAACACCACCAGTTACTAAACAATCAGCTCATGCGATAACATTGCACATTGTGTTAGTGGACAGTATAGTGTAACTTGTAGTTCCTTGGTCTCTCTCTTTTGTACAAATTAATCCTTGGCTCTCCATCTGAGCCTACTCTCAAATAGTGTTTGTGCTCACGAAGAGATTATCACACGAAGTTTGTGGCATAGAGAACAGCAGAGAAAAAGACCGTCCACGGGTCGCGTGAGATTCGGCTGAAGGCCAAGTCTCACGCAAACCATAGGAACGCTATCGCCCTCTATGGATCAAGGCGTGGATTCAGCTCCTAAGAGGTGGGAGGTGAGTAGATCAGACCCACCACCAAATGGTCAAAGACCGAAATCCCATTCACTGCATCCATGTTTCCCTCGTGCCAGGCCACGAGTTCCCAATGAACTGCGGGTTGCAGCATGGCTGGAAAAATCCTTACGTTTCCAAGCAGGACTTGAACCTGGTACCCAACCCGAGTGGCAACAAAGCACAATATACAGTGAGACCTGTCTAAGACGACCGCTCAAGGGACCTTCAAAACGTGGTCTTTGTGACCAGGTGGCCTCCTTTAAACTCCAGGATTATTTCACTGGGAATACCATCCCTTGGTTCTGATTGTAGTGGACCTCTTGGAAAGGTGGTTGCTTTATCCGAGTGGTCGCCTTCACAGGTTTACTGTAAATGATGCATTTGATGTATGGAAACAGGTTCGGGTCAACTTGGGTGCACAAAGTCTCATTTTGGGTTTGGCTGGAGTCTGTCTGATGGCTGTAGTACTGCTGAGGAGGATGAGAAAATGATGAAAACCTGGTATGTTTTAGATATCGCATTTCCCCCGGTTATAGCGCGCACTTGATTGCAAGTAGCACCCTCCATTTCCAGGTCCATGTCATTAGCGTTTTGGTATATTTACTTCAGTAGTATATCTTGCTCAAGTTGCACCACCTTTGTTGGCCCTGAAGTTAAGTGTAAGAAGGTGCGACTTATATTCGGGGAAATAAGGTAGGTGTGGCCACTGCTTTATTTGAACATGTTCTTCATCCTAACCCCCTGGAGACAGGCCGCACCCAAGGGGTGCAGATAATGGCACTCTATTGTACATTATAATGCTGAGCAATGCGAGCAGTTACATCCTGAAGTGACAAAAAAAGGCAGGAAGTTTGCTTTGAAATCATGTCCGGGGTTGATTTACCAGGTGCTGAGTGGGACCTGATGTTATTGAAGAGATCAATGGCAGCACAGATGGGGATCTCTTAGCCGGCTCGTGCATATTTGGGGTAGCTCAAAGGTTCGAGGGAACCTGAAAGTGAGAAAGGGCGGGACATGGGGCTGTTGGATTGCAATCAGGTGCGCTGGGGCAAACCATGGTGCATACTCTGTTCAAGAATAATATGGCAGAGATTGCATTGATTTCAAACTGTTATTCTCCCGATGGCCTGCGGCCAATACGAGATAACAGAGTGCTCACTGACTTGTCAGTTTGAGCACTCTGGAAAGGTACGCCCGGGCCTGCTTTAAATCTGGCTTCGGAATATTTATTTTCATTGCTATCAGGTTCGACCTCAATTTTCTCTATGCCACGCTGATGAGTCCGCAAAGGACGAAGCAGTTCTGTCCGCAGATTGAGCACTTCGAAGTATATAATTATCTTGATTGGTGTTGCTCAGAGACCGTTTTAAGACTTTAAAATTTTTTTGCGCGAATGTATGGATACCCCCACTCCCAGTGCAGTTGAGTGTGAAGGTGCAGACAGTTGGAATCTTCCATGATCTTCTAAACAAACACCTGTAAATTTGAAAAGGTCGCGGAGTAGGGAGTAGCTTAGAAGAGGCCCTCATTGAGAAATGCCTGTGTTCAGAAAACATAAGTAAGCCTGGTGAAAATCCACCAACCCCACAAATAACCATAATCCACCAACCCCACAAATAACCATAATCCACCAACCCCACAAATAACCATAATCCACCAACCCCACAAATAACCATAATCCACCAACCCCACAAATAACCATAATCCACCAACCCCACAAACAACCATAATCCACCAACCCCACAAATAACCATAATCCACCAACCCCACAAACAACCATAATCCACCAACCCCACAAATAACCATAATCCACCAACCCCACAAACAACCATAATCCACCAACCCCACAAATAACCATAATCCACCAACCCCACAAACAACCATAATCCACCAACCCCACAAATAACCATAATCCACCAACCCCACAAACAACCATAATCCACCAACCCCACAAATAACCATAATCCACCAACCCCACAAACAACCATAATCCACCAACCCCACAAATAACCATAATCCACCAACCCCACAAATAACCATAATCCACCAACCCCACAAACAACCATAATCCACCAACCCCACAAACAACCATAATCCACCAACCCCACAAATAACCATAATCCACCAACCCCACAAACAACCATAATCCACCAACCCCACAAACAACCATAATCCACCAACCCCACAAACAACCATAATCCACCAACCCCACAAACAACCATAATCCACCAACCCCACAAACAACCATAATCCACCAACCCCACAAATAACCATAATCCACCAACCCCACAAACAACCATAATCCACCAACCCCACAAACAACCATAATCCACCAACCCCACAAACAACCATAATCCACCAACCCCACAAACAACCATAATCCACCAACCCCACAAACAACCATAATCCACCAACCCCACAAACAACCATAATCCACCAACCCCACAAATAACCATAATCCACCAACCCCACAAACAACCATAATCCACCAACCCCACAAACAACCATAATCCACCAACCCCACAAACAACCATAATCCACCAACCCCACAAACAACCATAATCCACCAACCCCACAAACAACCATAATCCACCAACCCCACAAATAACCATAATCCACCAACCCCACAAACAACCATAATCCACCAACCCCACAAATAACCATAATCCACCAACCCCACAAATAACCATAATCCACCAACCCCACAAACAACCATAATCCACCAACCCCACAAACAACCATAATCCACCAACCCCACAAATAACCATAATCCACCAACCCCACAAATAACCATAATCCACCAACCCCACAAACAACCATAATCCACCAACCCCACAAACAACCATAATCCACCAACCCCACAAATAACCATAATCCACCAACCCCACAAATAACCATAATCCACCAACCCCACAAACAACCATAATCCACCAACCCCACAAACAACCATAATCCACCAACCCCACAAATAACCATAATCCACCAACCCCACAAACAACCATAATCCACCAACCCCACAAACAACCATAATCCACCAACCCCACAAACAACCATAATCCACCAACCCCACAAACAACCATAATCCACCAACCCCACAAACAACCATAATCCACCAACCCCACAAATAACCATAATCCACCAACCCCACAAACAACCATAATCCACCAACCCCACAAACAACCATAATCCACCAACCCCACAAACAACCATAATCCACCAACCCCACAAACAACCATAATCCACCAACCCCACAAACAACCATAATCCACCAACCCCACAAACAACCATAATCCACCAACCCCACAAATAACCATAATCCACCAACCCCACAAACAACCATAATCCACCAACCCCACAAACAACCATAATCCACCAACCCCACAAACAACCATAATCCACCAACCCCACAAACAACCATAATCCACCAACCCCACAAACAACCATAATCCACCAACCCCACAAATAACCATAATCCACCAACCCCACAAACAACCATAATCCACCAACCCCACAAATAACCATAATCCACTAACCCCACAAACAACCATAATCCACCAACCCCACAAACAACCATAATCCACCAACCCCACAAACAACCATAATCCACCAACCCCACAAATAACCATATCATTGGGTTCATCAACTTACCCACACAGAATATTAGGTGTGACCCAGGGAAGCCAGAGTTTTGGGAGTGAATTGTACCAAAACCTTCCTTACTAGACAGGAACCTCTCCTCCTCTCCAGACCAGATGTTTGCTGGGACGTTACCAAACAATAAGCGTGACCACCTCTGTATGAAGTCTAAAGAGCATTCTCCTCGATCTTTTGTTTCAAACAGTCGATATTTGTGCCCCTCACAGGTTACTCGGGCACCCTCCCAACCATTCAATTTATTATTTGGAACAAAAATAATCCCATGCCCTGCACATGAGGCATTCGTTGGAGCTGTGAAGAACATGGCACAAGACAGTACATTGGATAAAGGAAAGCTAGGAGCAGAGAAATTTGAGAGAACAGAGTTATTCCAAGAACCTGAGTTTAGCGCCATGGTAACATGATCTGACTGCCCTGGCATCCTGGGGATGAACGAGTTTCTTTAGTTCCGGGTCGAAATGTATGTGGACTCAGTAGGCAGTCGGGTCACTACAGGCAGTCGGGAGACCAGTGTACTGTCTATATCCTGTAAGCCGTCGGATGGTGTTCCCCTAGGCCTTGTACGAGCGGGCGGATTCCCAGTACATCGTCGGGTGCCGAAGAACGCACTGCAGAAGACTGAACAGGCTAGATTTTCACCAAGAACAGCATACCAAAGTAAACACGGCGTGTCAACTGTACATAGACTATAGTTTCTGAAAGTAGTGTAGGGCCTAGGGTGCGAACAGTAGCACTAGCAGCCTAAGTGCCAAGGCCCATGCAGGCCGGGAAAGGTGCTATAATACCACCACATGCCCCCTCGGCTTAAGTGCGACTTTGGAGCACTAACACAAAGAAAATCCTGAAACTGAAATTCGAAAATCACAGCGTAGCGCACAAGCAACAAGGAAAAAAGCAGGAGAAGCATGCCCAGTCAATCTATGCACGTGGCCGGAGGAACTGTCTGTTCCGACAGAAGCTGGACCCCGTTACCGTCTGCACTGTGTAGCTCCGTAGCTCCGTCCTCTTCTCGTGCATTTTGTGACCGTTCCTTCCATATCCCAGCGTTTTGAAGACTGGTTCTGGATCCATTCCTTATCGCCTACGTGCAGAGGGGGCAGAGGTTTGCCAAGCTGGGATGAGACCTGCTGGGGAGCGCTGCGGCTGTGGGCAGTGTACTGCTGCAGATTTGCAGGGAGTGTGGGAACCTTGGTCCTCGTTGGCCTTCCAACAGCAGCTGGGCCGGGCTTGCTCCTCCTTCAACTGGCGTGTTACGCCACTCCAGCAACCCTTCTCTGAAGGCACTGCTGTTATAGGCGTCTCCTTTTCCGATTTTCATTAACACGTGCTTCATGGCCTTGACCGCCGCCTCAGCCGTGCCATTTTGACTGAGGATTGTACGGGCCACTGGGGTCGTGGCAAATGTTCCACTCTGAGCAGAACGAAGCGAACGCTGAAGATCTGAATTGCGGCCCACCATCCGCCGTGAGGCGCGTAGGAACGCCAACGTCCGACATCCAGTGAACGAGACATCAGACGTGGTAGCCGACCTCCCACAACGCCCAACAAATGGCCAGCCGGAAAACTTGTCGGTGAGAAACAGGTACTCAAAGCCGCCTAGGGAGAAGAGGTCCGCCGCTGCATCTTCGAACGGTCTGGACGGACGACTGTCAGAGAAGAGCGGCTCAGAAGGTTGGGAGGGGAGCAGCGTGACGCAGGATCTGCAGGTCTGGACGACGTTCTTAACGTTATTGGAGATCTGGGGCCAGTACACTGCTTGCATGGCCCTGCGGAGTGTGGGGGTCTGTCCCTGATGACAAGTGCGAAGTTGCTCCAGCGTAGTCTGGCGTAACCTTCTGGGAACGACAATACGGTGGCCAAACAGCACTATGCCGTCCTCGACTGCCAGATCATGCCGAACCTGCCAGTACGGGTGCAGATCGAGGTCCAGAGCAGCCTTGTCCGCCTTGTCCACCGGAAAGCCGTTCTTTATGGCGTTCAGCAGCTTGAGGTATTCCGGATCCGTTGAGCCCTCCGCCCGCACCTTCGGTCGGGGAGGACTGTATGGCCTGTTCCCTCGTCCTCTTGCGACAGCTGACGGAGAACACAGTAGCAGTGCTCGATTTCTTCCTCACCAGCTTCATCGTCAGGGTCTGGTGCACTTACTGGGTGTCTCGACAGGCAATCTGCGACCTTGTGATCGGCACCAGGTCTCCACTGAGCCACGAACCGAAAAGGCGTCAGCTTCTCCCGTAGTCGCACGATTTGTGGAGACATCAACTCATCCAGCGTCTTAGCATTCAGGATAGGAATGAGCGGCTTCTGATTGACTAGCAGCTCGAAATCAGCACCGGCCAGGAACAGTCTAGCCTTGTGGACTGCCCAGACTACCGCCAGCAGTTCAATGTCCGTTGCAGAGTACCTGGCCCTGGTCTCAGTGACGTGCCGTGAAGCACATTGCACTAGACGCCACCGCCCGTCCACTTGCTGCAGCCACAGTGCCATGCCAAGACCGTTTGACTGCGAGGCGTCTGTCTCGAGATGAAGCGGCTGTGCTGGGTCGAAGGTAGCCAACACTCGAGAGCTTACCAGCTCCTCTAGTATAGCTGTAAATGCCTGCTGCTGCGGATCCTCCCAGACGAACTCATTCTTTGGAGAGAGCAGAGAGCGGATCGGGGATAGAAGCTCCGCTAGGCGCGGCGTGAACGCGTCGAACTGCTGCACGAGTCCACAGAAGGATCGGGTATCAGTGGGGTTGGTGGGGATTGGAAAGTTGTGTGGATCCTCCACTAACCTGCGATCAGGACTGTACCCGTCCGGCGTCACCACGAATCCGCAGTACGATGCTCTGGGTGCCGCAAAGACGAATTTGTGGCGGTTCAGTGTGATTTGGTTCTCGAAGCAAAGCTTGAGCACATTGCGAACCCTCTGGGTGTGCGCCTCAAGCTCAGTGTCGTACACAATGACATCCTCTACCACTTTCTGAAGATTCGAAAACCCGGCGAACACTTCGTCTCCTCTCCGGTTGTGTTCATCACCTGCCGACACCAAGCCCATGACGTTCCGCTTCAAACGGTAGGCAGCCCATGGCGTCATGAACATTGTGAGCCTGGTGCTATCGTTGTCGAGGGGTACCTGCCAATAGCCATGGCGAGAATTTAGGGTGGTGAAGTACAGCATCTCCATTGGAATCGACGCGACGACCTCCCAAGGAACTCGGGTTGGGTATGCCGGCCTCTTGACCCATTTATTTAGACTCGTCAGGTCCACCGTGGTGGGTGGCTCACTGGAATTCTTCTTAGGGACCACCACCAGTGGGTGGCACCAAGTGTATGCTTCGCCGACAGGCACCTTCTCAATGACGCCCCTGCCCACCATGTCGGACAGCTGGTTCTGCACAGCGTCCCACCACCTGAATGGGATGGAGCGAGCGTGATACAGGCGGCATGGCGACGCGCCGTTGACGAGCTCGATGCGCATCGGCTCACCGCTCATGGGCTTGAGCGGGGTTTCACAGAATACTTCTGGAAACTGTTCCAGCAAGGTACCTCGGATTTCCTCCGCCGCCGTCGACGCGACGCCAACAGTCACCAGCTTGTTCCTAGAAGGACCAGCCTGGTTGACAAACAGCAAGTCGACAGATGTCGTTCCTGGCGAGGGCGAGGTCCGCTGTCGACAAACCCTAGCAAAGTGACCCACCTTGAGGCACAAGCGGCATGTCTGGTTATAGGCCTTGCATTGGCCCTTGGGGTAAGTCACCCCACAAAACCTGCACGTGCCTACGTCTGACTTCAGCGTCTTTGCCTGCGCCTGCCGACGCTTGTAAGTGGGCTTCGCTGCCGCCGCCAACGCCAGGTCGGGCAGCTGCTCACCGAGGCCAGATTCCGCATGGGTAGAGGACTCGTAAGCAGAGCATATCTGCAGGACCCGATCGAGCAATAACTCACTGGCACACTCTTCTTCGAGCACCCTTCGTTGCATCGCTCGATCCCTTAGGCCACAGGCGAGCCTGTCGCGGAGCCGGGTTTCCCGGAGTTGGGCTTCATGGCCGCATAGTGACCAGCATTTGCCGCACTGCAGACTATCTGGGTAGCTGCACGCATCATGCAGCTGAGACAGACCCGAGAAGTACTGGCTGATGCTCTCACATTGTCTCTGGCTCCTGCCATGGAAGGCCTGGCGGTGGAGTAACAGGTTTCTTTGTTTTCTCAGGAAAGCTTCCAGCTTCTGGACGGCAACCCGCTCATCATCGCCGTCGGCTATGGGAACTACGCCCGCCTGCCACAGCCGCACCCAACCGTTGTTCAGAGCTGTACGGAGAAATGCCTGCTGAGTAACTGTACCGGCGTTTCTGCATAGCCCAGTCAACGACACGTAGTCGGACCACTTGACTTTCCACTCCAGGAAACCAGCTAGGTCTATCGAATCTGGACTGGGCAGGTGGGGTATTTCCCCCTCTCCGGGCCCACGGCCCTGCCTCTGGCTGTCTTGAGGTGGATGGTGGCGGGCCGCTGCGTGCGCCTGCGGCGGGCTGGCTTGACTGCGCCATTGTGAGCCTAAGCAGAATCTGCTGCTGCTGGCTGAGGGATTGGACGATAGACTGCAGCAGGCTTCTTTCCTCTTGAGTCCCTGGCTGCATCTGCTCTGTCAACCCGTCGTTGGTTGCTGCTGCCTCCTCAGCCTTGGCCTTGTCAGAGGTTTATGTCTTTCGCTGCGCCATGTTGTGTCCTGCTCAAGGCAGACCAACTCTTCGAAAGATGAGGATGAATCATCAGTGACACGCAATGGCTTTTAAAGGGGAGCTGGCTGCAAAGGTGGCTTGAAAGGTGACATGTGAATGTGTTATGCGCAAGGCGCCAGAGGTCCAGCAGTGCAGGGCTTAGGGTGCGAACAGTAGCACTAGCAGCCTAAGTGCCAAGGCCCATGCAGGCCGGGAAAGGTGCTATAATATCACCACAATGTGTTTGTCGTAATTGCCAAGGTTACGATCGCAAATAGGTCACATTCCCGAGCTATGCCTTTTTATTTTGAAGATTTGTACCGAAATCAAAACTTCCAGCGGAAAATTGATGTTTCTGGTACCAAATTTGTACGCGAAAAATCTTTCTGCACCCGGTGACGCAAAATCTCCATACGAAACATAGTTCGTATGAAACACGGATTCTCCGTGCCGAAAAATCGTGTGGAGCACGCCTGGGTGATGCACGTAAAGTTCCTGCAATGGACCCACGTTCCCAATGTTGCTTTTAGTCACACGGAACAAACAAAAGAATGAAGCGAAAGGCCAGAACTTCGTCAAACTGACTCAAAGACGAAGCTTAGAAGCTCATCGAATATTTTGATTTCGTGCTTTGGAGACTTCTTCAGCTGAGTACCCTCACAGCTTGCACAATGCGCTCCATTCTGATTTTCACCCACGTTCTGGTGGAATGTGGGTGAGCCTCCATACACGGTATGTCGTGAATCAGAAAACACCTGTATGTGAGTCACTGAGTATCACGTGGTACACCCACGTAAAGTACACACGGATTACGTAGGACTAAACCTCCCTACTGCCGTTTGTTAGTCCATCACAAGTTTGATCCCACATGTAGTATAGTGCGAAGGCTACGGTGCTGTCCGGTCTGTCTTGCTTCGTGATCGCGTAACTTCCCCCTTTGCTGATTTTTTATTACTAGAGCCACGTAAACCCGTCATGTGTGAGCCACGAATAAGGGGGTTGGTGGCGTAGTCTGGGATGCTCTGCCGACCTTGGGTCTCGGCTTCATCACAACCAGGCGTGCCAATAGCAGAGAGAGAGAGAGAGAGAGAGAGAGAGAGAGAGAGAGAGAGAGAGAGAGAGAGAGAGAGAGAGAGAGAGAGAGAGAGAGAAGGAGAGAGTGTGAGTGAGAGAGAGAGAGAGAGAGTTATCTCTGATAACATGAACCTGCCAAGTTGGGTGGTTGTTGTTTCGGTTTTCGAAGTGAGCCGTGGCCGTCCTGTGCCGTGGCCGTCCTGTGCCATGGTCCTTCGTCATCATCTTGCGTTAGAGCTAGATGTCAGGTCGTTGAATGTCTCAGTAGTCTGTCAGTTTGTTTTGCTTAGTTATCGCACATTCTGACTGCTTATTATCTTGTTACGGTAGTGGGTAGTTACTCCTAACTCCTAACCCATGTGTCCTTTAATATAATTTTTTACAACCCAGCAAGTTGTGAACTTAACGTACTGGTGCTCTAAAACGTGCATACGTACCCGAGCACAGAGCTAGAGCAGTACTTGTTGCATCGACCGATGGCCCGTTACTCGCAACATGTGTACGGTTCAGTGTCCCGTAACTCCCGTCTGGCCTCGCCACCCAGGCATTGGGGCTTTTATGCCGCGTATCGGGGAGGTGGTTCTGTGCACAGCTGGTGTCATTCGTTGTGATCAGCCCAAAGCCAAGGTCCGCACAGCCATGCATTGCTTCGCTCAGAGTCTGATTTCTGGTACCAGAAAGCATGAGCAGAAAGTTGAAGTCATGTTGACATTGGAGTACTAGCAAAACACAAGGAAAGCAAACACCACACTGGCCGTAGGACCTCAAAGAAAAAGTGACAAGCTTATTTCGAAGTGTTTTGTTGGCATCTGCACTCACGAAATGAAACATCTACCTACTTGAAGTATATTACAGGCATGATCTCGTCAGTTAGTGGACTGTGGGCATGTAAAAACAAATTAGCGTCTTGATTTGTCGAAAGTGGCATAGTTGTGGTTCGCACACTGTGTTTACAATTTGACAGCATTGTTTTCGGGCAGTAAAGAGGTGGCGAGATGGCCATTGCATGGCCTTGAGAGATTGGTCACCTATGAAGACATCTCTGCTGTCTGTTGTCTATTTTGATTGACTATGTAACGATGCCAAAATAATTGACCAGCAGGTAAAATTCCAGACGCTCCAGATATCTGGCGAGATCGCCGCCATGAAAATGGTTCCAAGGTTGACTTGGGCTTGTTGAACAACTTGTCAACACTACAGCAATACACTGATATTCATTTTCATCTTCGCCGCCATTTTGTTATGTAGCCATATCAAAGCATCTCTGGTTCGGACCGAGGTCAAAGGAACAGCAGTCATATCACTGTGGTACATTCGCCTAATCCGGCCCCTGCTGCACTACAACTACATGCACTAGTGTGCACCATCTGGACGAACTCTCCATTACGCTTCAGGATCGAGCAGCTTGGAGAGGCTGTATTCACGTGGCATAGCACACTTTATTGGCAATCTCTAGCGGAAGAACAGCAGCTGAACCACATCTTGCAAAAATTATACATGTTATGTCAATGCATATAGTACGCGATCTGTCAAATATCTATGTCTGAATAATACATTTTGCACATACATGCACATGGATCAATTTTCACCGCATTCACTTCATCTTAGGCTTAAAACAACGGCTGTCATATTTCTTACGTGTATAAGTCATCGACTTCACGATCTTGATTAAAAAAAAAACCTATGAACCTGATGTGAATGTGTACATGACGTCATAAAAACCGCTTTGCAACGGGTCAGGGCGACCCTGCCCGTGAGCTCATATTATTCGTTTGAGCTTAATGAAGAAGTCAGTTGTTTGTTCCAGGATTCCTCGTGTTGTTTGAGAGTGTGAGGCGGACCAGCAGAGCTAGAGGGGAACAGAACAGAGCCCAGATTTGGCGAATGCACTATAGTTCGTTCTTACGAGGAAAAGGGAAAAGAACCTTGAAAGGCAGTACGCATGCTCCGGATGCGATACTAGAAGCCATAATGTTGTCTTGTTACTACTGATATGTAGTGATGGAATACTTACCTTGAAATTCTGAGCAAGTGTAGTCCTGAATGGATCCTTGGCAAATCGAATGTGTTGGGCATTGTGGTTTCACAACGGAACAGTGTTCCGAACATGTGTCCAGGAACCCTGCAACTAGGCATACATTGAAAAAGCAAAAATGATGCAGACAGACTATTAACTACTTCCAAGTAATCACCATACAACTGCTAATGATAACGGGACTGAGGTGATTATACTTCGAAGTACATCAAACCTTTAAAAGTGCTCTCCGATTACATAATGTAGCACAATAGGATCTCTCCTTCCATCGCCTCTTGTATGCTCATAAAATTCACATCTATTCCCATATGGAAACAATGGGAAGATAAAAATTAAAACGAAACTCATCTTGATAGCAGTATACCCGACTCCAGCGTACATATTCCAGGTACCGCAGAGACCGAGATTTACACGGTGGTGGAGTTTGCATTTTCGTGTAAATTCACTCTTTTTTTAGGGACCACTAGCAAGCCGTGAAACGGCAACGTGAAGGGGGAGCTCAGTTAGAGTCCCGTCCTGACCGCGCGAAACATACTAGTGTTTGACGAGTTCGGAGGGGTCTACTTGTCATGACCGCAACGAGTGGGGTTTAGTCAAGTACGTGCGATTTCAACCGTGATACGGAGAATAGCACAGTAAATCGCTCCTCTCTTGGCTTTGCGATTTTTCTCAAATTTCGAAAATGTCTACCCTGTCTACCCATTCTTGCTGGAGTAAATAATTATACATGTAGTGGCGAAACGTACCAAAAAACCAGTAGGACCATCGATTTTGGCGTAACCATTACCAGCATGACACAGAACAGGACCGAGGGTAACCAAAGTGCCAACAATTAGGCTTGTTCAAGACAACCTTCAGCTTGCTCGCTTATTTTTTGTCTACTTCTCCGAAAATTACAATTTTTTCAAATATTCTCAACTGACTGGCTCCATTGTAAAGTCTTTCGGAGAATGTTTTGGCATGGACCTCGTGAACAAAACCCTTTGCTGCACCCATCCATCGGCGATGTGGCTGTCATGGGGTTTCTTTTATTTTCATTCGGGTAAAAAATAGTCAGGGTGAGAATTGTTAGAATTGTTCTCAAGGAAAAGTTCGCAAAAATCATTGCCAGTAAAAATATCAGAAAACTGTTTGAAACTGGAAAGCAGCTGACTCGCGTAGACCGGGTTGTGAACGCGAGAAGCTAATCCTAAATCACGCCGTGTTTCACGTGCGTTCAAATGAACTCGTTCCCGTTGACGTTTCACGGCATGCTAATGGTCCTTTTGTGCACACGCACATGTTGTCCAGGCGTCAGGGGCCCAGCCTCCCTGCCCATCCGACCCGCCACACACAACAACGACACTGAACTAAGAGTTCCACATAATTTCTTGACAAGACGGAGACGGACAGACAAGAAGACCGGACACGACGAGGTAAACTGAAAACTGAAGAAAAAGACTAACATTTATGGCAGCATACGAGCATGCGCGCAACAAAACACAACGTATGACAATGACGTAACCGTTACTTGGATCATGTACAAACTATACATGCAACCAAACCAGTCAAAGCAGAACGCAAAACAAACCAAAATAAACGAAAGGACCACAACAAAAATGAGCCATGAAAAGTCTTTCTACCGATACACAACAGGTCCCTAATGGTCACAGGGGTTATCCATACAGTTTGACAGGCCAGCTGATGCCTGGTTGGCGCTTCCACAGGCTTTTTTTTGCCGCTAAGGCCGATTCCACACTACGCCGAAAGTGGCTTTGCCTTGAAGGCATAAAGTGGCTTATAAAGTGAAGCTGCATTCACACCTACAAGTGTCGATCACGGGACTTTGCTTTGAAGGTTAGACTGTGAGGCTTTCCTGTGCTTGATCTAGCAACGGCGGCAGTGGAGAGGCTCTTTGTTGGTCCAAATCCTCGAATATCACCCATTTTTGCGTGCCCAATCTTGAAATTTGACCACGCTAGCGCGCGCTGTGTAGGCAGATTCCAGATCATAGGTCGAATATTTGTCAACCTCGCCAACAGGCATTCCGGTGGCAGTTTTCGTTGTGTATGTCTCGTACAGTCCTTTCGCCTTCGTTTTCATGTTGTCGATTTTGGAATGGACGATTGACGCAGTATAGATTGCCTCCTCCCGGAGCTGTTCAGCAAACAAATTCAGCTTGATGGCGATCTCCTCCGGCGTAGCTCCTGCGAACTGTACCGCCCGGAGGTCGCCTCAAAAGTCCGCTCCAAAGCTCGATCAGCTTGCCCTCAAGCTCCTGGCTAAACAATGACCCTAGGCATTAGGGAGGTTTAGTCTCACGTAATCCGTGGGTACTTTACGTGTGTGTACCACGTGATACTCAGTGACCCACGTACAGACGTTTTCTGGTTCACGACATACCGTGTATGGAGGCTCACCCACGTTCCGCCAGAACGTGGGTGAAAATCAGAATGGAGCGCATTGTGCGAGCTGTGAGGGTGCTCAGCTGAAAAAGTTTCCGAAGCACGAAATCAAAATATTGGATGAGCATCTTAGGCCCGGGTAGCTTCGTCTTTGACCAGGTTTGGGCCTTTCGCTTTATGCTTTTGTTTGTTCCGTGTGACTAAACACAACATTGCAACGTGGGTGCCCTTCATCCACTTTACGTGGATCACCCGCGTACGCGTTTCCGTTACGTGGGAACTAAACCTCCCTATTGTTGACAGCTCACAACTCACCACCACTGAAAGATACGACAGGGAACACATTCGGAAAAAAATCGAAAGGCTGAAGAAAAGTCAGAAAAGTGTCCTGAAAAGGTAAAAAGTTGCCTTGAAAGAGGGTGCTGGTGTTGCTTTGTAGACAACAAGCACTTTTCACTTTCGCGCGTTTCTCAAAGTGATCGCCATGGCAACTTGCCTGAAAAGTGCCTGAAAAATGGCTTTTTAGACAAGATTTGGTGTAGTGTGGAATCGGCCTAAACTGGAAATGCAAAATGCTTTTGTGAAATGTCCGAAATATTCCAAAAAATTAAAAATTATTGCTGGATCACCCCGAAACGCAAAATTATGTGTCTGTTTCCATGGCAACCAAATTAATTTAAAAAAAAGGTATCTACTTGAAAACCAGAAATCGCTGTGGTGTCTGCACAAAATTGAGTTTAGACGGCAGAAAACGAATATCTTAGGCCGGGAAATGCCAAAGATGCGTTTTTAGGCCTGAGATTCAAGAAAATGCTCGACGTCGAACGAGAATGCTTTTTTCCCCCAAAATGCAAACAAATTGCAAACCATAATGTGGTAGAGCCTAATGCCCGGCTGTCCAGAAGTAGCTCATCCTTTTTCAGTAGATACACAAGTACCTAAACTCCAGTTTTATCATGGACCGGATGCGTGCTAAAACAAAATGAGGTGATGATTTATAGAAAGTGGTATAGTTGGCGGTACGAGTGTTCGAAACCATTCGAACTTCACAGTGTTCAGCTTCTTTTTGACATGCTCTCTTTCCATCGTATTTAGCCTTTGTTGTGTGCTGTCGTGGCTTTCTCCTATACCTCTGGGGATGCCACTGAGTGATGGTTTTGAGAGGCTAGAGAATTTAAATCGGATGGAGAGCCAAGGATTATTTATAAAAAGAAAAAAGAACCAAGGAACTACAAGTTACACTAATGTCTACCAACACCACCAGTCACTAAACAATCAGCTCATGCTGTAACATTGCGGCACCACACTGACCGACGGTCCTGACGTTCTGCACTGTTACCGCATGAGCTGATCGTTTAGTAACTGGTGGTGAGTGTGGACATTATAGTGTAACTTGTACTGAGTTCCTTGGTCCTTTTTACTTTTTATGTACATGTGTGATAAATTGTCCAAATTTACACCCAGGAGGGCATCATCATCATCGAGTATGTACATGGTTTTGTTCATGTACCGGTTCGAGGTGCACCCCTCAACAGTTGAGGCAAGGCGAATTGGCGGAGCAGTCGCCAAGGATGGTCGACCACGAAAGGTACATGTAAAAACAAATGCCAGCAGGAAGGCAAACATCATGCGTTGCAAGCTTGGTATGCAGCACAACCGTAGCCAAGTCTACATCAACAATTACTTGACGAGACAACTGCTGGAGTCACGCCGCCGCATCCTACTTGAATAAAGAATTACGCGCCGAGGGTGTCAAATGCGCATTGCCCTATGATGTCATCATGCTCAAGTGCGAACCCTTGAAGCCAGGTCAAGAGCTGCCTCCTACAGCTGTATCTCCTGTCTCCCTGGATGACTAGCGACCCCACGCATGTGATAGCCACCCTGGAAATTTACGTATTGCTCACATAAATATTTGCAGTTTAAGGAACAAAGTGAATGATGTAACATGAGATTCTCAATGATCAAAAAATTGATATACTAGCTGTTTCTGAAACCTGGCTTGATACTTTAGTTCCCGACGCTGATGTACTTGAAGTAGCTATTCCTGATTTTACCTAACATTGTCTCGACCGCACTGGACATAGAAGACATGGTGGTGTATGTGTCTGTGCAAGAGAGACCCTTCCCTCCTCACCAACTCCTTTCAACAATCCTCAGCACCTAGACCTGTTATTCATCAGGGCATACACCAACATATGCCGGCCACGTCACAAGGTCAATATCGGCTGCATCTACAGACCACAACCATCACTAGCTAGCTATTGAGAACACCTAGAGCATTGCCTTGATGACGTTCAGGACACATTGCATACTGATTTCATGCTATTTGGTGACCTCAACGTAGACATGCTGCAGAACAGCGCACATCGCACGCATGACAGAGATCTCTGCTCAACTTTCAGCCTAGAAAATGTCATCCTGGCCCCCACGCGCATCTCTAGCAACACTTGTCTTGATCTAATTTGCATCCCTAACTCCTATATACCTAGTTCATGTTCGGCACCTTCAGTGAACCCGGCTTTCCTGCTGAGCGACATCGTTTGCCTTGACGGTCTCTCAGGTCACCACCTGGTGAGTGCATCTATATCCACCGATCATGCTCTACCTCCATCGGGGAAACAAATACCGTAATGTCGCGTGCATAAGCCGGATTTGTGCATAAGCCTGTCTCGTGTAGAAGCATGAAATCTGCAACAGCTTTTCGCG